TGCCGTCTATATGTAGATTAAATTGTCAATCTTTTTCCACGGATTTTAGGTATTAACCCTTCTTGTTCCAAAGTCTTTCAGCATATCGCTCCTTCTATTGATAAGAAAACTTTCTTAGGTTTCATTTTACTATGGTAACAACAAATAGTATCACATATGTTAAATAGGCAGGACTTGATTTATCATAGCCTATGAAAATTGCTTTTTCACATTTAGAGTCCAATTTCTTTCCACCTTTTATGTAGGCATAACAAACCATGCCAAATATATGCATATTACTGAAGTTAGGTTTGTGACTTGTGAACATTTCTAAAGCAGTTTTTCCAGTTCCATGACTGTAGCACTGATTTTTAATATACACAACAGTCAAAATAGTATACAACCGCAAAAACTTTGGTAGCTTTGATTCTATTAATAGACATCTACCCATTTCAAATAGAGATCACAAAGATCTCTCTGCATTTTGGTGTGCAAAGTATGGAACCAATTTCTCATATTTAATATGATTATTGATTAGAAGAGTTTCAAAATTTTCAGAAGTGAATTCTGTACTGTGGCTCCCAAATCAACAAGTAAGCCTAAGTAATTTTTGTTGGAAATGGTATGTAGTCCAATTGAAAACAGGAATGAATGTTCATTGTCTGAAACATGTTCAACATTTTCTTTGAAATGAACTTTCTTTTTGCTTCTGCACTTTTATGTCCAGGTTTGTGACAAGCATGGCAGATAATATTTTAGGTTTGTGGATTGGAATTATATTGTTTTGATGTCCAGGTTTACCACAAGTAAAACAGGTGGGAATATTATTAGTGTGTGGCTTTGGTCTTGGCTTTTGCATTCTGACAGCCATTATGGTATTTTCACTGTTATTCTACTCAGTCCTCTTCAATTTATTCAAAGCTTTGCAATACTACTTTAAATGTTACTAGGAGGCAAAACACAAAATAAAAAGTTGTTTTGTGCACAGGGGCTCCAAGCATCACATCTGTCCCACAAAACAAATCCCCACAATAAAAATACAACTGCCAATTACAAACATTCCTGCCAGGAAAAAATGACACTGGTGACCACCAGATTTACTTTAAAAAATCTCCTCATAAATGATCAATACAGTTGTGGCCAAAATCATGATCATTTCTCATATCACAGCCATCACTTTGTCCAAGCTTCACTAATCTCACCCAAATCTTCACATGTGGAATGTGGCTAACATGACATCAGCAGGCCCCTATGACCATCACCGTGATTTCTAACACTTCAAAGTCTTCAATCCAGCTCAAGGCCTCACTTGTTGTTCAACCAGAATCTCACAGACATTTTGCTCAATCAACCTTCACTAACCACTCCATGCTTATCTTACCACAATGAAGAAGGTGTATGTCAAACCCTACCAATGGCTAATCCTAATCCACTCAAGACCTATCCTCTGATCCCTACTGTGACCTCAACCAACCAACACAAGAAATCAGACAACACCCAGCCCTGCCAAAAACCTCCTTACACCTAATTGCTTTCCTTACCAACAACAACTAAAGAACCACACATGAACAATTTTTGCCAAATTTCAAACAACTATGCATATATTTCGAATTTTTGATGAATACATGCTGTTGAAAATTTTAATTGTTTGTTCCTTTGCAAACAAATGCTAGTTTCAAATTCTCATAATGAAGATTGCATCAGTTTAATTAATAACCAGAGCAAATTGCTATGATTGTCAAAATCCTAAAAATATTCTATGACTATTATTACAGCTTATCTTAAGCTTTATTATACCATTATTCCCTGTGATAATAGATTTAACATTTCTATCACTAATTTATGAAAGAAAAGGGAACAAATAAATGGTCAGACATGCATAGATGGTGTAATGTTCTGCGCAAGAAGCTATCGATGCTTGCTAGGCGTCGATTAATGACTTGCTAGGATTTTAGGATGGTTCTTGATTGTCCCTCGAACGGCTGGCATCAGTTCTAGAGGTTTTGTCATGAATTTTCTTGTGTGACTGTCTAGGGTGTAGCATTTTCTGGATGGAGTTAAGGGGAGACATGACTTGTGGCTCTGGCACAGACGGTTGTGGACAAGGTGCCGACTTACATTTTGTTGACATCTGTTGGACATTTGAAGAGGAGTACAATGGATTTTGAAAATCTGTTGAAGCAACTGTTGTTGGACGTTTCTTAACTTTTTGATAAAACTTGAGAGCATCTTCATAAACATCATTTTGAGGACTTAAAATATGTTGCATTTTGTGACAATCTCTTGTTTTGTTGGAAACTGCTAGAAGCAGTTGATGAAGGAGTGGCAGAAAAATTCTGTTGACAACATTTAAGCTTCAATTCATTTATTTCATGTGACATTCTCTTCGTTTCTGTGCACAGCATTTCTTGCATTTGGATGAAGTGTCTCTCCAAAGACAAATGGGATTTTCATTGTTCGTTATCCAAAAGAGATGATAACTGGTGAATATTGGCGTGGGCGGTCATCAATTCTTGTTTATAAAGAGCGTTTTCAGCTTCAAGTTTCTGGACTGTGGAATTGATTTTGTGGAGAGTTTGTGATTGTTCATCAAGTTGCCCTTTTATTTGGTTGGTAAGCCCCCAAAATAAAGATGATCTCCTGTTTGCTGGAGTATCCATTTCAATTGGTGGTGGCAAGTTCCGAGCTCCAGCTGTGTGGAACACGTATTCTGTATCACTGCCACTGCTATGTGGGTTCCGTTGGTCGTTTTCAATGCGGTTCACTGAGTGTCGATTGGTCTGTGTTCGTGGGGGACGATTTGTTTCCCGTTGTCTGTTTCCGTCGTTTAATCTTCTGAAACAGGCAGAGGTGAAGTGTCCCCACCTTCCGCAATATGTGCACTGGGTATGAAATGCAGGGCAAGACGTCGGTCCCCGCTCATGAGGGTATTTTTCCGTTACCAATTCCTGCACGGTATTGCGGGGATAGTTGCTTGGTCAGCGCTGTTCGTCCGCTGACTTTGTTTATTGGGGCGGTTGTAGCAGTAGCAGTGTTGTTGTTGTCTTCCAGTCGCATTGTTTGTAGGTGCGACGCTTATCGCCTCCGTTGTCCTTGTGTAGTTTATTAAGTCATGTAGTGACATATCCGAGTTCATGAGTCCCTTCTGGTGGACTTTTTCCGACAGGCAGCCTGTATTAGGTGGGACTTCACCGGAATCCATGTCGGAAAACGGCACATAGAGCGCAGCTTCCTTTAGTTTGGCGTGTAGAATTCTTGATGCCTGGGCTATTTTGTTTAATTTTCCGAACACAAATCGGTTGTATTCCGGGTTTTCAGGGTTGAAGTTGTGCACCGCTGAGACAAGCTTGTCAAAATGTGTTTCATTTTTTTCTGGTAACTTTCGCTCCTGTGGTATCTCGGCCGATGATGTCATTCGTATCCTTGCCGACAAACGTTAGAAGGATTGCTTTTTGCCGTTTGTCATCCTCAATGTTATGTGCGACAAAATAGTTTTTCAGTCTTTTTATGTATTTTGTCCATCTTGCTGCTTTGACTGTTGACTCAGTCAAATTCGGGATAGTGTGGAACGGCGGCCATATTGGTTATATATCGAACACATGTTGAATTTTTTTTTTTTTTTAAGTGTGTTGATGTTCTGTTTTTGTGAGGGTAACAACTCAGTCCTCATCGCCAATGTAATGTTCTGCGCAAGAAGCTATCGATGCTTGCTAGGTGTCGATTAATGCCTTGCTAGGATTTTAGGATGGTTCTTGATTGTCCCTCCGGTGATGGTAGCCTCCTATTCCCTTTTGCTGTGAAGCTGCTGATTAAGATTCACCAGATGTCTGGAGGGGACCTAACTCTTGTATCTCTATGGGTTATCTCCCTTCTGTTGCTGGGATATTACAGATGGTACATACATTTCAGCTAGCAATAAGGCAGTTAAAAGTAACTCTGTTTCTCTCAAGTAGCTATAATCTCTAATTAACATATATCAAGTTGAGTACAGATTCAAACTCATTTCATGTAATCTTCAGTTTATTTTCATATGATAGGGTAAATTTTACTTTGTCTTATGGTTTTCTTGAAAATTACTTCTCAGTATTAACAAATTTTAATTTTTAATGCTAAGAAAAAGATAATTATATGATTTAGCATTATAAATATTAGCATTTATATATACAAAACATGAATACTTTAATTCTTTTATCAAATTAGAATATTGACTGATTATAGGTTGAATTAAAACATTGGTTTATTCCTGTATCAATAGAATTAAAGTGTTATAAAACTATAGACATGAATGAAAAATGTATGAAAAAAGAATTTTAGCTACACAGAATGTTAGTATGATAGAATACATATTGTTATGTCATTGTTTCAAAGAGCTATGTTTTTAACTTTGATTAAATAAATGTTGAATATGTTGGATAAATTAACATGAAAATATACAAAACAGCAATCTACTTATTTTATATTATCCTCTTTGTTATACATAGGCCAGCATGATCATGTTTTGACTGCTGTACTCACTGACCTTCTTTAGTTATTTCTCTTCATACATGATAAACTTACTAGAAATTTCAGCCAAACCTTTTATTCAATTCACAGGAGTAGATTGTTCTCTTTTCACTTTCCATGCTTTCACTAATCTTATTAACTTGTCTGTGTCTTCCACTGAACCAGATTATAAGACTTTATCACTACTAGTCACAGGGATTGAACCTACAAGTACCAAGTAACCAGATATATTTTAACCCATGCTTTAAACCACTAGGTCTTTAATGTACTAAATTTTCATTGCTACTAATGTAAATAATATATATTGGAAATAAAATTTTGGTCATACTTCATAATTCATTCACATTTTTAAAGAGTAAGGGTAAATTTTATGAGCAAATTAAACTCAGCTAATCAGTTTTCAATATTAGTTGGTTACTGATATTAGTAGATTGCATTCATTGGATATGCTTGTGTTGGGTATATAAATGATGTGTGCTTGTATATTGATTTATCATTGTAATTTTGTTATCATTTAGGTTAAAAAGTCTATGTCTCAAGCTGAGCAGATTAAAAGATACCTATCTGTCCACAGTGATTTGGGTACTGATGAAATCACACTACAGGAAAAAAAAGCTCACGATTCTATAGGTAAGTATTAAAAGCAATTTGTTTCATGATATCCTTGAAAATGATGATGCCATGATCTTGGTAAGAATTATCCTTCTGTAAATTTTAAACATTTTGTATGCTATTTCATGGAATTGGAAACATTTGTTTTGTGTTCATCATTACATTTTTTTTTGTTGATCTAAGCAATCCTTGACCATTTACTCTCTCTATTTGTCTTTGTTTTACCATTCATTCACTCAGGCTCATTAAGTAGATTACTGTTTTCCTCTGCTTGTCTAAAGATACAAAGAGTATATTTTCATCGACCAGTCAAATAACACCATGTTGTGACTCTATTCTCATTAACATTAGTGTGCATGAAAACTGGGAAAGGCCCAAGGGAGACAAAAGGGGAAACTTAATGTCATGGGTCGTTATCATTGAGCAGCGAGTTAATTTTTTATTATATGTATTTTTGTTCATGATCACAATCACCCCTCCCTCAACAATAAAAATACATTATCCCACAGAGGCACCTAAAATCTTTCTGAATCACACTACATTCTGGCTGGATGTGAATGCTCAAAAAACAAAACAAAAAATAAAAAAGTTGTTTTGCGTGGTTAGACTCCAAACATCACATCCAGTCAACTAAACTCCTATATTGTAACCAGATACATGCTAACTACAAACAGGATGAGAAAATCATAAAAAATCTTATTTGTACTAATATATCTTTCATGGATCTGATAAAAAAATAAAATTAATCATATATTATAAAAAATACAATACAACCAATTTAATTATTCACAGTAACTCCTCCCCACCAACTGATGTATTACGTAACACCAAAATTATGTATCAATTCAAATGTCCCTTGGAAGAATGTATCTCCAACAGAAAAACAAATATATATGTTGGATATATGACAACTATATTAACAAGACGTCTTACACTACAGATGTCTGACCATTTGTCCATTGTGAGACATCTACACCAACATTCCTGTCCACATTTACAATATAAAAAAGTACTAATCAACAACACAACTATCCTACACCAAGAAAATAACAAATTCAAGCTACAGATCCTCGAAGAAATATATATTAAAAATTAAAGCCGTCACTTAATAGAATCAATTGCAAATACTGTAGTAATGTTCTGAAATGCCTATAAAAGGAACAGTTTTTCATCCCTGAATTGCATGCATGACCATGACATTACAACATAGGAGAAAAATTCCATGGTGGAATTTTTTTTCACATTCTAATGAATGCTAGGCATGACTGCCAACCATTGTATTTAGAAGCAAAAACAAAAAAAATTACAGTAATGGATAGCAACACACTTTTGTATTACTACTTGCACACCTGAACAACACAAAGTTTTGTATTAATACTTGCACAACTGAAGATGATCTCGGAAGAATATCAAAAGTACTTGGGAAATAAGTGATTTTCACAGTCATAGCACATTTCTCACACTATTTAATTTCAATACATGGAAGGGTATTGGTGAATATGAATTATGTTAAAAAAAGCATACATAATGTTTGTAATTTATTTAATCAGAGATGCCTAAAAGAGAATTTGCTGCTTAAATACACAAATATATGTTTGTGTGTGTATATGTATGTATATGTGTGCATGTATATATATATGTGTGTGTGTATATATATATGTGTGTGTGTGTATATATATATATATATGAACATATATACAGTGACACACATAAGTATTGGATACATTTTATTTTCTGTTATAACTCTAGTTTATGTTCGCCATTTTGCCTGATATTTGGTAAGTGATATCTCATAAAGTTGTTTTAGTTGTATGTGGAAGGAAAATTAAAAACTCATGGTTGAATCCATTTTTTTTTATCAAATTTCAAAATTACCCTATACAAAAGTATTGGGTACATCAATTTAATATTTTGTTGTGTAGCCTCTGTTTTGTTTCACTGCTTCCAGTCGCTTTCTATAGTTGGCCACAAGTTTTCCACACTGATCCACCATTACTTTACCCCATTCTTCCTTGCATAATTCCTCTAATTGCTTGATATTTTGTGGATTCCACTTATGAACTTTAACCTTCAAAGTATTCCACAAATTCTCAATTGGATTCAAGTCAGGAGACTGACTTGGCCAATTGAGAGTACAAATACCATTATTTTCAAACCATTCCTTTGTAAGTTTTGCCGTATGTTTGGGATCATTGTCGTGTTGAAGCACGAAATTCTGACCATGTCCTAAAGAAGTTGCAGATTTCTGAAGGTTCTTCTCTAGAATCTTCCTGTACATGCTACCATTCATTCTACCATGGATAACTTGTAACTCACCAGTGCCCTTGGATGAAAAGCATCCCCATATCATAATGGAAGCACCCCCAAACTTAACTGTGGGGATGGTATTGTGCTTGTTGAAGGCAGTGCCATTTTTTCACCAAACACTTGTCGCTGTGTTCCTTCCGAATAGTTCAACTTTCATTTCATCCGACCAGATTACCTTTTCCCAAAACTGCATACCTTTCTTTTCATAAGTTTCGACAAACTTTAATCGGTCTTTGACATGTTTGGCTTTCAGTAAAGGCACTTTTCTTGGTGATCTTGAATGAAAGCCTGTACAATATAGAGCTCTGCTAATGGTATCCTTACTTATATTAATTCCAGCACCCTTAAGATCAGTTTTAATTTCAGAACGAGTAATGAAGGGGTTTTTTTGCACATTTCTGCTGATCCACCTTGAAGTACTCTCATTTATTTTTCTCGGTCTTCCATTTCTTGGAAGGTTTTCTGTACCGTCGCCATACTTCTTATACTTTCTGATGATATTTCCTACTGTACTTAGTGCTAGATTCATTTCTTTGCTAATTTTTCGGTAACTTTGTCCTCCTCTGTGACTTTCAATGATTCTATCTCGCATATCACTGGATAATTCTTTAGTTTTTGCCATTTTTAATTCTTGAATTGCAGAATGCACATCAAAGAGTCAGATGATTAGTAGCACTATCTTGTAAACAATTGTGTGCTTCCCTGATTGATCAGAGATAACATTCCAATACTATTGAAAATTTGAATATTTAAAGTCTTTTAAAATACAAAGTTTCGATTGTAAATTTGAAAAAAGTGTCATGTATCCAATACTTTTGCATAGGGTAATTTTGAACTTTGATAAAAAAAAATGGATTCAACCATGAGTTTTTAATTTTCCTTCCACATACAACTAAAACAACTTTACGAGATATTACTTACCAAATATCAGGCAAAATGGCGAACATAAACTAGAGTTATAACAGAAAATAACATGTATCCAATACTTATGTGTGTCACTGTATGTGTGTATATACTTATATGAAGATATATGTATGTTTGTATATGTATATATATGTTTATATATATATATATATATATAAAAAAAAGAAGGGTGTGCAAACGTTTTTGGTTGTAATGTGGATTTATTGAGAAAAAATATTATACTTTTGTTTTTACATAATTTCACGACACGTGTTTCTGGTCTGGTCTCGCAACCGTCTTCAGGTGAAAGTGGAGATTTTACATATTATTAAAAATAATTAATTTTTCTTCATGTTCAATGTGGAATATTAGAATAGAAAGAAAATTCTGTTTGTGTGTTGGCAAACAGAATTTTCTTTCTAGAAATTCATTGAACATGTGGAAAATTGGCAGACGGAACACTTAAAGCTGTCCACTTTGTGCTGGAAGACAAAAGTCACAAGTCATCATGATTGAGGGTTTGAGTTTGCTGGCCTTGTTTACATTGTTGATCACACTAGATAACATGCTCTCTCCCAGAAACTGTAACTAAGGTCTGCCCAGCATAGTTGCGAGTATAAACCACAGTTGGGTTCTGTGGATATTTGAACAAACACAAATGTGCCTGATATAGCGTCTGCATAGGGATTGGCTGTATACCATAGTAGATGTTTATATGAATACAAGTGGCCAGCTATTATATATATATATATATATATATATATATATATATATATATATATATATATATGTGTGTATATATCTACATATGTATATATATATATATATATATATATATATATTTTAGTAGGCAGTGTATATAATGGATATATATATTATATTGAGAGCCAAGTCAAATCCATTATATTATATATATATATATATGGGAAAAGGTATGAATATCTTCTTCTCCCTTCAGCTATTAGTAAATAGCAGGACAGATATGGGTATATATATATTTGAGGCAGCTGGTCTAGGAGAAGGACATATATGAATTCAAAACCTGCAGATTGTCGTTTGGTGACCTTTGTATATATATATATACCAGGTCTCTGTATTTATATATGAAAAAGTGTGTGGTTGGTTCTGCACAAAACTTCCACTATTATAATCGAATCTTATGTGTTGTTGGTTCCTAGGAATTAATCTGTTTGACCCTCATATGTTGAGTTCGACAGGAGAGTCAGGTATATATGTAACTATATATTATATATATTTATATATATTAGGGTAGGTTGATTTTTCACTTTTTTTTTAAACATCAAAAAGAATAATTTACCAAAAGTTGTGTATAGACCTATAAGAACTGATACAAAATATATGTGTATGATATATGTATGTATATATGTACATGTATGTATATATATGTATTTGTGTGTGTGTATGTATGTATATATATATATATATATATATATATATATATATATATATATATGTATATATATATATGTGATATATATATATATATATATATATATATATATATATATATATATATATATATATGTATGTATATGATTGATGGGTTACAATTTTTAACATACAACATTGTGTTATCACACTAGATAACCATGCTCTCTCCAGAAACTGTAACTAGGGGTCTGCCCAGCATAGTTGCAGTATAAACTATGGTTTTTTTTAATGGTTGTTGAACAAACACAAATCTGTAAGAAAGTTTCTGAACATGTTTGCCGTAAAAATCATAGTAGACGTTTATCCTTAAATATTTCACTTGGCCAGCTATTATATATATATGTATATATATATAT